ATTGAAATTGAAATTGAATATTTGGAACAAAAGAGTATATAAGAATATGCCAGTTAGAGTTAAGGAAAATCGATATAAAGTGATGTGGAGGTGATACCTAACACCACGCAAATTAAATCAAATAGATGGTAAATATACAAATATTTGTTGGAGGTGCAAGAAAGCGGTTGGAGCATGTAAACATATGTGGTGGGATTGTGATAGTGCACAAAAAATATGGGACATGGTGTTTAGAGAAATTAGAGCACTGAATGTAAATTTAGATATGTCACTATGGATTGCATTACTGTTGAGAGGGAAGGAGAGGAGAAGGAGAGGAGACAGGAGAAGGAAGGAGAGGAGAGGAGAGAGGAAAGAGAAGGAGAGGGTAAGATAAGGAGAGAAGGAAGGAGAGGGAAAGGGAGGGGAAGATAAGGAGAGGAGAGAGGAGAAAGGAGGAGAGGGAAGGAGAGGAGAAGATAAGGAGAGGAGAGAGGAGAAGGAAGGAGAGGGAAGGGAAGGAGCGGGAAAGATAAGAAGAGGAGACAGGAGAAGGAAGGAGAGGAGAGGAAAGAGGAGGAGAGGGGAAGATAAGGTGAGAAGGAAGGAGAGGGGAAGGGAGGGGAAGATAAGGAGAGGAGAGAGAAGAAGGAAGGAGAGGAGAGAGGAGAGGAGAAGGAAGGAGATAGGAAAAGGAAGGTGAGGAGAAGATAAGGAGAGAAGGAAGGCGAGGGAAAGGGAGCGGAAGATAAGGAGAGGAGAGAGAAGAAGGAAGGAGAGGAGAGAGGAGAAGGAAGGAGATAGGAAAAGGAAGGTAAGGGGAAGATAAGAAGAGGAGAAGGAAGGAGAGGGAAGGCAAGGAGAGGGGAAGATAAGGAGAGGAGAGAGGAAAAGGAAAGAGAGGAGAGGAAAGGAGAAGGAAGGAGAGGGGAAGATAAGGAGAGGAGAGAAGAGACACCAAACTCGGAATGTCAATTCCTATTGTCTTACTTCTATTGTCTTCATTTCATCATAGACTCAAATGAAATGGAAACACAGAGAATAAAATTTTAAGATAGGCCAACATGCTGTGTCAATGGTTGCTAAGGGTGGGGGGGAAAGTAGGGAATATGGCAAGTCTTCTCCCCTCTCCCCCACCCCACCGCACCATGCCTACCCAGAGTAATGAATGCATGTGCTCGGACAGTAGAAGGCATCATGGACCCTTGGAATTGTGACAAGGGTTGAGATGCTGGGAGGTCCTCGTTCTCCGCAGAGCTGGACACTAGAAAACAACACACACACACCCCAATTAAGAAAGGGCTTTGAAGCAGGAGACAGTCCCCTCTGCAAGGTGGACATCCAAAGGAGGAAGAAGAGCTTACACTGTTCCATGTTGTCAGGACTAGCCAAGAGGGATTGGATCAACAAGAAGATGCGCTTGTCCACTTTGGCCGGACAGAGCTGTGCAATCTCACCCAAGGTGAAGAGGTGCCTCACCTGCCAAACGAAACAATGCCATAAACTAGAAAGAGAATCCTAAATTGGTATTAAAATACTATTTGGTGAAAGCCTAACATGAACATGGATTTGAGCAAACTCCAAGAGACACTGGAGGACGAGGGGGAGGGGGTGTCCATGAGGTCACAAAGAATTGGGCACAACATAGTGACTGAAGAACGGAGTGATAGCCTAGAGGTGGGACTCTCACCTCTCAACCAGGAGGCTGTGAGTTCGATCCTGGGTAGAGGCAGATATTTCTCTCTGGGCAAAATGAGAATATATCTGCCGAACAAAACTCCGCATTGGCGTCAGGAAGAGCATCTGGCCATTAAAACGCTCTGATAGCTCCATTCAGTTGCCCAGACTCCACCCCGCAAGAGATTATGGAGTCGTTAAATGATGATGATGATTGGGTGAAAGTCTAGCTCAGGGGCCGGCAACCTTAAACACTCAAAGAATCCTTTGGATCCGTTTCCCACAGAAAAGAAAACACCGGCAGCCACAAAACCTAACGGGGGTCCCAAAAGCTCAATGAATTGTATGTCAGGGGGTGTCAAACATTGGCGGTTGTGACACATATTTTGAGCTGCAGCAGAGGAATGAAAGAGCCACATGCGGCTCCAAAGCTAATGGAGAGAAGGATTTGCCTTGACAAATCTTTTTTATTAAGGCTTCCCTCGGTGGGCTGACTGAACCCCAAAATTTGATATTCAGAGTTTAACCACTTGCAACCACGCTGGTTTTATTTACCAAGATATCCTCTTGCAGCTGTTCCGTGCCAAATTCTTGGAGGACGATCTTTGAGATATATTGCTCACAGGCAGCTAAAAGATCTCCGCATAGGTTGTTCAGCAGTTCCTGTTTAAACATGACACGGGGGGGGGGGGGGTGTAGGGGAAAGTTGAGTAAATGTTTGCCGAGTTAACACAGCAACCTTCCCCAGGATCCCACTTCTTTGTGGCTAGGAGGATGGCTGTGTCTAGGGCAGATTAAGTTATCCAGCCTCAGTCTTGGGAGATCTACCTCCACCTGACTGGCATACCCTTTAAAAGGATGCAAAGGACCAACTGCCTGCAAGAAATATAAATCCTTCCATTCCCCACCATCCTGTCAGAGCTGAAGAAGCTTCTTGGATGAGAGGCGAAACATCTTCGAAAGAAAAAACAACGAAGCCCAGTTGCTTCCTGAGAAAAAACAGCCTTGGGAGATAAAATCCATAGTTTTGGAGAAGACTCATTGTGTCTCACCTGCATCTCCTTTGGGGCATCTGTGATGGCCTGGCTAAGCTTCTGCAGAGTCTCGATAGCGGAACTGATCACCTCCAAAGGACACTGGAAGTCCTGCAGCCAACAGTTGAGATCATCTGCAAAAGAAGGCCAGACCCCCCGGAGTAAATGGGTGTTGGGGCGCATAAACAGTCCTTCCCTCTCACCACAAAGAAGACGGCATAAGAGAGACCGTCGCTTCCCCCTCCCCAAATGACTGTCCAGTGAGCCCTCACTCATTAGCCTGCTCTGGGTGCTGCTGGGCAGGTGTCTGGCAACACTTCCAATCACGCTGAGGATGTGCACCATGGTCTCCAGGTTGGCTTCGGGCTGCCTGGGAAATGGAGAAGAAGGAAGTGATGATTGGCCCCACTTCTCACCCATGAATGAAAGCAACTGGATTCACATGTTGCGCCATGGCTCATTTGATCCTGGGTCGTAAACCAATGGCTGGGGTCAACATGCTAGGCCAGGGTTCCCCAAACTTCAGGATTTGTGAACTTCAACTCCCAGAATTCTTCAGCCGGGCTTAGGAATTCTGGGATTTGGTCCACAAGTCTTAAAGACCTGTAAAGTTAGCAACCACCTCTCTTAGAAGAATGAACTATTTTAGGAAATACTAGTGCTGATAACCTGGCGTTGCCCTGGTATCTATTTATAGGGGGAGAGGGGGGGAAATATCCAGACCAAACGTAATTTCTAATGTTGGATTTTCCTCCTTACCAGAGGGAGCCCCCTTGTGGAGTAAGTAAAAGCCATTTTACGGCAGTACGGTAGAAGCCATTGTAAGGCACAACAGGCTGTATCTTAACAGAACACACACACACACTGAGGGGTGTTAGGGGTGTATTGCCCCCACAGTATTTTTTTTCAGAGAGTAAGTCACCCGGATGCCATGTTTGGTTGAAATTGCTCGAGGCATTCCAGAGTTATGCTGGAACATAAACCCACACAGAGGGAGCCATATATATATATATATATATATATATATATATATATATATATATATATA